ACTGGAACGTGCTACATGTTTCTAGTACATTCTGGAATGTTCTGGTGTGAAATATTAGTCAAAAGTTGTTTTGTACGAATACTTTTTTGACCCGAAGAAGTTAACATGTTGCATTAATTTTTGTTGCATTGAGATTTAATTTCTATTGATGCTATTTTTGAATACAATGCGCCTCTATACATAATATAAATCACTTCTCCTGTTCAGTTTGTGTACTTACATAAATTAAAATACGATTTTTCAAGTGTACGAATATTTATTTCCCCCCACTGTATATATATAGTCTGCCTAATCGCAAAAAATTAGAATAATGCATTTGCTTGCATGCATACTAAGATAAAAAAATTATGAGTTGAAGGAGATAAAAATAGATGCCAAATGAATGAATAATGCGATATATCAGTACAAAGTATAAAACCCCTTGAAAAATTAAAATACATGTTTAGTTCTACGAACTAATGTATAATGATGACCATTTTCATCGTAATGGTTTTTACTTTCCAGTGAAAATGAGCAAATGAGGAATTCATTTCTATAACTTTTTATTTAATTCGAAGACTATTACAGGACTCTTACAGAAATTAATACACAATTTTCTCCATGCAGAATTCGAATTATCAGCTGAAATAGAAATCGAAGCATGAATATTGCTTGATGTCCATCTAGGATGTCCATTAATTACTTATTATTACTGCATTATGTCAACAATTATTTTAAGTTATTTATACTACATTCAACGAAATCTAGAATAATTCACTGTAGCACCTAGCGTACACGATGTCAGGAATCAGGCGTAGGAAAACGAAGTAATATGAAGTTGAAATGCACGAATAGCGCGTAATTTGCGAGGCGAAGTAATATGAAGTAAGTTGAAATACATTAATATGGTGCAATATGTGGAGGATAGTCGATAATAAAGACACGATAGAAGACATTGTGAATTCGTCTTAAACTTGAACGATCGGCGATCACGACCTGCGTTTCACGGAATAAAGTTCGCGAATAATTGGTAAGCGAAGACGACATACTTGACAAAGACCGAGAACGATATAATAGCCTATACATTTTTAACTTGGATAAAAGCCCCGAACTAGAGTTACCTTATTGAAAAATCTATAATTCACAATTTTGAAGGTTCAGATGCACGATTCAGTTTCCCGTACTTATATGGAATGTCCGTGTTCGCGGGCTTAGTTTGCCGCTAGTTACGATAAATCGATACTGATTTATCTACAGCTGTGAAGCCTCATCTATGATCCATCAAATAATTCTATGTAATGAATATAAAACAAAGTGCGTATGAATTATTATCATTAGCAAACTATTACCCCCGTACACTGATAAGAACTAATTTCCCGTGAAAATTTACACCGTTACATCCGTAGTGTGGCCTAAATATTTCCGAGCAGATCAACTAACTGAATGAACCATGGAGGCAACAACCGTGGTTTGTCGTTGTAGGTATTGGGGAAGCTGTCGGTGTAGCTCCTGACAAAATTGAATCCATAGAAATTAGGCCAGGCTCAGACCTATAAACCTACCTGACGAACATTTATATTTTTTTTCATGAAAATTGGTTTACGATTTGCTATTTGCGACGTAAAAATAGTTAACATGGACAATGATGCATTAAATTTACTCTAATTCCATATTAATTATAAATTATTGTCTGGCACTGGCATAAGGTCAGTAAACAACATTTGGTGATATGTTCACGTAAATTCAGCTATTTCAAGTTAAAGAATTCATCAATAAATCTATCATCAACTTAATTTCGTGGTTTCAAGATCCTAACTAAACGGTACAAGACATAAAAAGTATCAACAAAAATGATTTTCAGTTTTCAACAAGCAAGATATAAAGGTGGGAAGTTATCATTAAAGCATGAAATTTACCTATATAGTCTAAACTCTATATGTCCTACCTCCTCCATTCCTGTAGGACAATCCAGGTGTGAACGTCATGATTTGAGTCAATGCCAGCGGGAGAAGAACCGGGCACGGAGTCAAGACAGTAACATTAAATTCCGGATTTCTGATATCCGTTTTCCGGATTTTTGATATCCGTGAGACACAGGAGCTTTACTCGGATAAATCAATCGATTATTATCAGTACGATTGTGATAATTAATTGAGCAAGTGGTTCGAGAAGGACAGATGACGGAAGCTAATGAAAATTTCATTACTCCTATGGAACATGAGTTAATTTAATGATTTCATAATGTTAGAAATTTCTTGTATTCGTGATGAGACGTGGTCACGTGGGATGGAATCGATATTTGTGCGATCATCAAAGAACTGTCGAGTCAAACATAGTACAAATTTATTTTGATATAACGCAGGTATTCCTAAGTACTTGGAATATATCTCATTAAACATCACTAGCCGCATACATACAGATGAGAAAATAACGAGGTGAGTTGTAGGCGAACCGTCGAGAAACTTCGCCCGCCCGCCTGCAGCGAATCTGTTTTGTTGGGTCGCCTGCCGAAGACCACCACTGCCCTGGATGTAATGGACCATCAGGATTCCTGCCTTCCGGAACGTAGCCTTCAACACTTCAAGCCGTCCGTATCTAGGCCGTGGGTCGAACCAGCTCTCGGTCGAACGGCCACTTGTCGAAAGACGATAAATTTTAGAACAGAACTATGCTATCTGAAACCTAACCTCAGATGCGGTGAACGTAAAATTACGTAATTTAGCGATGCTCGGAAGTCTGATTCGATCCGCGGCTTGGTGGTGCACGGCAGGTTCTATGCGAGGCCGGAGGAAGACAAAGTCGAATGGTTCACGACTAATGGGTGGATGTCCGGAGAGATCCAAGGCGTTCGATTCAGAGCTTATTGGTGCACAAAATTGGTGGTGCACGGCTGCGCTCCCTGTTTTGTTCACCCAACAGACAGGAATAATGGCGGACTATCGATGAAAATTGGAGAAAAGGCGGACAAAATCTTGAGCATCAAAAATTAAAATTAATTAGGAGTGAATAACCAAAAATTTACAACAAAATAATGTAATTAAATAAAGCGTCATAAAAATCCTGCAAATTATTGGAACTTATAAATTTAATTAGGCATCAGTAAGTGCGAGAACAAGTATTAAAAAAAGATAACCTGAACGGAGAAGAACGAACGCTATGCTTAGAGACTAGACTTAAATAAAAAAATTAACTCCAATAACGAAAGTCAAAATAATTATTTAAAATCATCCACAATTCGTATGGCGTTTGTAATAAGTGAGCACAATTGTTGCATTACTCTTTGGACATTTATAACTTTTCTACATTATTTATTTTTTACTTCTTTACATTATAAAATTTAAATGAAAATGTTTCTAATTATTTTTTCGATCGTTCAAAATATTGCATAATTAATTTAATTTATTAAATAAATCGAATTGACTTAGATCAAAGTAACGGACACGTTTTAAACACAATAAATTCTATGATACCCACAAGTACGTCATAAGATATCTTGTACCTATATACGTCTACTAAATGGGCGCACTTAATAGTAATAGCTCCTATATTTAACTAAGATATTTTATTATCCTGCGCTGGGTTGTTTTACCATTCTCAAGATCACAATCTCGAAGATCAAGCTCATAATCTTGTCAGGCAATAAGAACCTAACAAGGTTTTGGCTAAGTCCGTTGTTAGCTGTGCCCAGGCCTTCTCTAAACAATCAAACCTAAACCAGCTATAAGAGACACCAAGACAACTACTTTCATACGAGAACACGACAACATCATCAAAGCGAGTACTAGAAACCATAACATTTGGATACCATTTTCAACAAGCAGCACAAGTACCGATTAATAGCTCAAATGTTTAGTGTTAAACATTCACGACTAATCTTGTGTAGAAATAAAGGAAAACCTAGCCTTACGACTAAATAGATATAAAACACATATTCTTAAACTAACAGTGACAATTTTAACAGGTGTGAGCATTACAAAGTCTTGACTAGAGATAGCATGTATTATAAAGGAAGCCAGTAATTCTTATCTTGTACCAATTCTCAATTGAATTAAAAGTAAAACATCGACTCCAGGTGACGTTATTCACAAAAAATTTACACTCGAGTTTAACAAGTACTCAATTCCTGCAGCGTATGCAATATTGTTAACAGAAGTTATTGTCAAATTTCAGATGATGAATTGTGCTTTAAAAAAGTCTTCTTCTAAATCCATTACCAATAAAATCACGGTAAAATTCCACAAGAATTAGACATAGGAATAATCAGAATGACACAGCAGCACCATGCAAGGGCATCGATCCCCGCATTCTAACTCGCTTGCCATTTGATTGGGAAAAAATCGGATCTAATTTCCTCACTAATGCATTCAACGAGAATGTTATTTGAGTGAAGCAAGCCCAACCGCAGTAAAATTTGAAAAATTTTACTTTTTTACTTTAAAAATTTGATACTTTATGAACAAAAAGTTTCCTACGCTAAGTCCGCTGTTCTGACCACCTAGCTAATTTAAATCTTATGATAAATTTTGACATCAACGTCTAACACCTAAGGTCGACAGGAAGCGATAATAAAAACATAGAGAGCCCACGCTACTCAGAAACCACAGTGCCCCCGAAGAGCATGGCAGTGAAGTCATCATCATCCTTCTCGATGGGATATGATGAAGCTTCAGGGCTGGGGGACGCGACGATATCTTCTCCCAACAAAGGCAGCTCTGACACGCTGGGCATGCCATCAAAGCTGCCAGTGTTCGTGGGATCACCGCGGCCGTGGTCGTAGCCGCTGGCTGAGAAAGTTTCTTCGTTGCTGAGGCCACAAAGTGTGTTTGCGCTCACCTTTGAAGGAGAAACGGAATCTGAAATACCATTAGAGTCAGACAAGCAATGCGGGCGTTCCCTGCCTTCATTCCACCGCTGCATCTCCTCTCGGACTTTGCCGACCCCAGAATTTGAAACCATCGAGTTGTCGTAAAGACTCAATTCTTCAGTATCTTCTAGGATAGGCTTTCTTGCCTGCTGCTTGCTCTTGTTCTTGAAGAATAAGCGTCTGAACCAACTTACACGAGAATTTGACGGTATAGTACCTTGTGATGCATGGACATAGTTTCTTTTATCCTTCAAAACTTTATTTCGCTCAATCTCGACTTGTGCTGCAGCTTCCTTCAACTGCAATAGAGAAGGAGAGCTATGATACTGCGTTACAGGCAAATTAGCTCTCTTATCACTGCCATTGCCACCCGTTTCGGTGCTGTTGAGAACTTCGTCGACCCAATCAGGTCTCTCCTGTTGACAAGTGTTGGGGTTAACCAACGACTGCTCCTGACTTGCGTCACCGCAGGCTGATTCTTCTATGCGCAAACAGAGTGAGGAATTCAAGCTTGTTGAGTCCATTGATTGACTCCTGGGTGCGGCAGAATGACTTCTATTATTGCTCAATCCAACATTTGATACCGCCATTGGCAATTCTGGTGTACGAACTTCATTCCTTTGCTTTCCAACTTTCCCCTCTTCGCCAGGCAAACCGTTAGGGTCAGCTTGTCCATTATCAAGGCAAGAACCTTGTCCATCCTCCACGTCGCTTTCAGTCTTGTCCCTTGCGTTCATGTCGGGCGCGTCTCTGTCTCTCCGGCAGGTCCAGATGAGGCTGCTCTTCTTGCGCCGTCGTCGGCAGGGAGTGCCTGAGGGAGGAGAACCCGCCGCAGAGCGCCGCATCAGAGGCCGCCACAGGAACCAGTGGTCCAGGAAGGTGCCGTCGTGTAGCCAAGTCACCAGGGATACGATGTCATCCAACAGATAGAACCGCTGCAAGTGAGATATCTGCACCAAAAAAAAGAGGATTCAGATAAAGCTGCGAGTTTAGAACAATCAACAATGTGGCTTAAAGCGAATGAGTAGTAACGTAAAATGAGATTCAATAAGAACAAGACACAAGAATATACCAGAAGCAGCAAAGTAAAAACGGCGAATGTCGCAGTATTTCGGTATTTCTAACATTGATCACCAAGGACAACCACGCCGGGCAAGAAAGGTATCGAGACATGATAGATAGATGTATTTCATATGGGAGTATGGCAATGGAACAGAAAATTTCAAATTTGAAATAAATATTAATAAAGCAAAACGTCCATTTTCATTATTTTTCGCAGTTCATAACATATCGACGGCGTGGCAAGTCAAGAGAAAAAAATTTACGTCGGGTTTGATTACTCGTAGATACCCATAAATGCTTAACACATACAGGAAGTGGTGCACTCTTCTGCCTAACAGGTTATGCGAGGGGGCTTTATTCGTTATTGAACACACCTGAAAACATTTAAACAAATTTTGCTCGACTTTAATTCGAACAAGTGAACCCATACCTCAGCAGGCACTGGACCACTGCAGTCGAGGGTGACGAGAGCAAATTTATCCTTGTCCCGCTGGCCTGGAGCAGCCGCCCTGGAGCAGCAGCAGCACACGCGACTACGAGCGTCTCCTGCAGACGCCTGGACGTCGCTAGGGGCGAGGGCGCCGTACGTGGAGGCGTAGCAAAGGACGCCCAGGCGCCACTGCTGTGCCACTGGGGAACTTACCGCCACCGTCTGCAATACGAGCTCATTTAACTACCTTCAGACAGCACAATTTTGCAACGTTGCAATCGTACACAGCGTAAGTATATTCGTACCAGTCCGTTAAGGGTTCAACAAATTTGTGATGGATTTGAAGCTAAGGCATGGCAAAATCGAATATTTAAGATAGTTTTACATTCTTCCGTTGCAAATGCACTGCAAGAGAAACAAGAATATACTCAAGAAAATAATATGGTGGAAAATCTATAAAGAAAGGAAATTTATCAGCCTCATTGCGGTGTCGATACAAGGTATTAAAAATATGATAAATACTTTCAGAAGATAAACTCATTAAAAGATTAAATGAATTTTAAGAATCAAAAGAAACAAAACTGAGATCAGTAAATGAAGCTTAAATTCTGCGAACGTTAAAAATAATCCAAAATATTGCAAATTATAATAAAGTCACCAATGCATATTTTACCAATTCAAGTTTAATAGAAAATACTATTTACTAGCAAACAAACTCCTTTAGATCATTCATTATTAATGAGAACTTAACAGGCAAATGAGAACATTTACAATTACGAATTAAAGTTACTACGAAACTAATTATATAAAACTCACTAGCCTGTCCACTTACTTTCATGATTCAAGATTTTAGAACTGGTATACTAGGTACTTTACAGAGTACCGTTAAAAACAGAGTACATTACATATTCCCATTTTAAGCTTGTCTTTTAAAAGTTAAAAAAGCTGGCGCATTACCTGCCCTTTGGGGGGTACCAAGAAAAGGACTTTGTTGGCGGTGCGCATTTCGTACTGCATCCACAAGTACGGGTCCTGAAATAAATAAATATATAAATAAATAAATGACGGGCAAAAATACATATTAGAATTCACATGCCATTAACGATTCCCAGATAGGTACTATGGGATACAGTAATGTTTGTAAAGAAATTTCAAGTCAAGTGACATAAACACCCCGATCATGGAGAACAAATTGCTGTGAAATTCAATTCATAAATTACTTTGGACCATCTCTCGTCCTAGCATGCAGCATGCTACGCTCAACCACATAGTAGAAGTAGCACAAAAAACTCGACAAATAAGCAACAGGTTTCTGAGTTGCTGCACTGGTAAAACCTTACATTGTTGTGAGAATTTAGTTTTGTATGTGATGAAGAAATTGCGAATTTACTCACAAAGACGAAGTTAAGAAGTAGATATCGGGCCGAAGATCACTGTATTTATTACGACCTAAAGCAAATACTAAAGCGCCAGCTACATTCCGCTGTAGGACGCGTGCGTAACGCAGCTAACATCATGAATTCCATGCGTTAGGCCCTCTACCGCCTGACATGAGTAACCGGAGCAATATTGTCACAAGCCTTCTTCACAAAAAGGAAACGCTGCAAGTGAGAGCAAAATGACTTGCACTGATGGTTGCCGCCACGTACGGCAACTTTAAAATGTTCTCTGTTGCGTACAAACGTCCTCAGGTTGCTACACTCAATAGATTACGTATAATTTAAGTTGAAAGTTATGTTCCCGGAGAGTGACATATGGCGGTAGAGGGTTAAGATTACACGAGTTGATGAAAAGTTGAATATGAACAGAAATACAGTGCATTCACGAATACGATGGTAACGTAGGAAAGCAAGTTCTGAAAATTACAGTAGGTACAAGGCAGATATTTGGTGAGAAAGTAAGGTTTTCCGTAATAAGTAGAGCATTTCAGATCGGAGGACAAGTAAATAAAGTTGTAAGTTAAGTCTATTAGGTATACGGTCAAGTAACTGAGCTTGCTTACAGAGGAAATATTTCAATGATGTCGGGAAAGTATATTTGGTTAGAAGTAAAGAACTTCGAAGTGAAGGTAAAGTATTTTAGGGCACAAGCAAGACATTCAATGATTTATAACGGTAACTGAATAGTTCTAGTTCAATACACGTAATAAGGAAAATACAGGGTAATTATTAATAAAGCGACGCATAAGAGAGGACGGAATGCTTACGGCATCTGCGAGGTGAGTGTGTATGGTGGTGGTGGTGATGGCAGCGCTGTGGTGTAGGAAGGAGCTGATGGTGGTGATGAGGGAGAGTGATGACGGTGAGTGGGGGCAGCACACAAGCAGCACGCGAGGTCGACACCATAGCTTCTTACTCACCACCTCTGGAAATAAAATCATGGTAAAATTACAACTATTCAGAGCCTTTAATTTCGGGAAATTGAAAGCAAAAGTAACATCGACTTCTGGAATATATGATTGATGAAGAGTATTGCGATCAAGAGTTAACTTGACGATTTTCAACGTGAAAAGTTGTATCCACCTCAAGTAGTTGCTGCTTAGACGTAAGTGTCTTTGACGCCCATGGGTAGAAGCTAAAAGGGAAAATCTAATACAAGGTACCAAAATCGGTCTGGGGCCGTATTATCAAAACTTCGTAAGTACGCAAAGTCGACTTACGAGTGGCGATGCTATGACAACGTAATACTAGCGGTGATATTATAAAAACATTTGAGCGGGAAACATTTGCGCGGGAAAAACATTTACGCTTTTAGCTAAGACTTGCTTGCGAAATTTTGATAATGCCAAAATTAGGGTGTATTTACGTACCACATAACTTTTTTGTCGTAAGTACAAAAAGTTACGAAGTTTTGATAATCCGGCCCCAGGCCACGAACACGGTTCCTCAGCGATATGAGAAGCTTTAATCAGAAGTACATTAACAAAGATCATAATAATTCAGCGCATGCACGTACCAGCTTGTGCACGGATGACGAGCGCCATGACGACGAAGGAGAGCAGGAAGAGCACGAGTAACGTGACCGCCGCTACCACCACCCACCCGCCGTACGCCGCGCCCGCCACAGCTGTGCGCACAATAACTTTTATTGCGAGCCTTGCGTGAGCCCTTTAGGTGTTGGGCACGGTTCAAGACTAGGCTTCATAGGACAAAACTAACGCTTGCATTTTGAGCACACAATAAATACTGTAGCTGAATTCATCATTATTATCAAGTACATGAGACTGGTGCTGATGGTTGGCTGTCATAAGAGAGTTAGTGTAGGGCAGGCGTCTAAGACCCTAACATATCCTTGTAAAGGAGCAAACGTTCAAACTATGTTTTGAAGAACTTATAACGCAAGGGTTATTATATAGATTAATAGATGAGCAAATACAAGAGCCTCAATATAGTTGCTAGAAACGAGCAGTCGCGAACAACCACTCATTCGGACAGTGACAACAATTTAGATTATATAGTATTCAGTCAAACGTCAATAAACTTGAATTAATCTAGATTATATAGCACTTTTAGAAGTAAGTAAACATACAAAATATAGGCGAGACGGCGACGAAGCAGCCATGGGACGAGCAGAGAGGCGACAAGATCTGCACGGTGACGGCGTACTGACCGACCTCGTCCGTGTAGGGCAGCGAGGTGCTCAGCAGCAGCCGTGGTGAGGGCGACGCTGCATCCCATCTGAGCGACAGATCAACTCGTCATGGTGCAGTAAAATTCAATGAAATATTTTTTATTAATAAGTACAATTACATAGAAAAAATTCAATCTAAAGGTGAAGATTAGGTATAATTTTAATTTAATTAATTACTTTGAATCAGTAAGGCAAAAAACAAGAGAGAACTTTTTAATTTAATTAATCTCATAACTGATTCTGAGCATTCATCGGAGTCACTTTGTGTTAAGAAATCATCTAATTATTATCCTTTGGGCAGCCTGTAATTTCAAGAACGTGTTCTATTTTAGGTGTCGGACAAATTTACGGCCGGACTCGCGGCCAAGCTTCAAATTCAATGACCAAGGAATATCTCCCAAACTGATGAACGTAGCTCGATGTAACTTGGTACACGTATTCATTATGACTTAACGGTGATGTTTAGCTTGTGAAAAATTTCCCATTTCACCTCCATTCGTGAGTAATAGGACAATTCGGGCCGAAATTTGCAGTGACCAAAAAATTTCTTCTAAACTACCGTACTAAACAGATTTGAACGAAACTTTGAATATACAAAAATAAACTCCCGACGGTGATGTTTAGCTGGTGTAAAATTTTGCGACTTTTTCTTCGTTTGCGAGTTATACGGCTATACGCATACGGCTCTTTGTAAAGTGTAAACGCAAATTTAAAATCTGCCTCAAATGCCTGCTGTTTCTCCGTATGTCCATATAACTCGCGAACGAAGAAAAAGTCGAAAAAATTTACACCAGCTAAACATCACCGTCGGGAGGTTAGGTTTGTATATTCAAAGTTTCGTTCAAATCTGTTAGTAGTTTAGGAGAAATTTCTTGGCCACTGCAAATTTTAGCCCAAATTGCTCTATAACTCACGAATGAAGGTCAAATGGAAAAAATTCGTAAACGAAGGTAAAAAAACCGTTGGAAGGTTAGTAATATATAAGCAAAGTTTCGTTCAAATCTGTTTCGTAGTTTAAAAGAAATTTCTTGGGCACTGCAACTTTCGGAACGAATTGCCGTATAATTCACGAATGAAGGTGAAATGGAAAAAAAATTTCAGGAGCTAAACATCACCGTTAGGTCCTGCTGAATACGTGTACCAAGTTTCATCGAGCTGCGTTCTTTAGTTTGGAAGACATTCCTTGGTCATTGAATTTGGAGATTGGCCGTAAGACCGGCCGCACATTTGTCCGAGACGATTTTATATTTCAAACGTGTGGCTGATCCACACGTTTCTATGATTAAATCACGCCTTTAAAACAGCATGCGTTCTAGTCACAGCAACACAAAAAACACGGTAATTGCAAGGAGATCTAAAAAAATAAGGCTCACTCATCGATGCCGGTGAGAATGATTGAAGCCAGAGCAACACCGCACAGCTCGCAGCCATCTTTACTGGTTTCTCCAGATTTCCTAGTGGCTTCAAAGGATCTTTTCTTATGATCAACAACAGAGCTTTCATTAGCAGGGTTGTCATCGGAAGCTTCGTCCTCCACGCAGCACACGCTTCTTAGGCTCACATTGTACATGAGGTTGGCAAAAGGGGCAGGCTGAATTGTCACTGGGATAGAGGATTCTAGAGTCACATGCTCCAGATGCACGTAGTGGAACACCCACCATTGTGATAATTCAGTCGAGACAAAATCTGTATAGGAAAGAATTTCGAAATCATTAATTTTTAAATTAATTATTTACTTAGTAGTAGTTATGTGCAGTAAAATTCAGACCAGCATACCAAAGAAAAAAACACTTTCAACATTTAAATTTATAACATTAATAATTAGTAAAAGTTGCTACTAAAAGGTACTCTTAGATCACCGTAGATAGAAAGCACTAATTTTAAAACCTGTAATTTCATGAATAATATTTTGTAAAATATATTTTATTACACCTACTATATGACCACTACTATGTGAATCTTGAACAACAAACGGTCGTACATAGAAATTCCCCAGAAAAATGACCATTTGTTTAGAATTCCCCAGAAAAAAATGATGTAAAATCTATGTGATATGTTGATTATATTAAAATTTGAACATAAAAAAATTAATTGCATGCATTATCTAACTACATGTGGCAAAATTGTTATCAATAATAAACAAATAAATTCAAAATAAGATAAGCAACCATACAAAAATGTAAATTAGAATAAATGGACATTCAATGCAGTAAAGAAAATAAATAAAATTTACCATGACGGTCAATTTGCGGCACAGTGAAGCTGAGGTGGGCACCCCAGCCAGCATCGTCAGAAAGTCGCAGGAAGAAATCTTGACCTTCTAACCCATGAGAAAACATTGGGCAGTCCCAAAAGAGTACAGGTGGCAGGGGCAATGCCCTGCGTTTTGTCCGGGTGTGTCTTAATGACGATGTGTTTGGGGTTACACTACCAAAGAAAGACTGTTGTTGCAGGAGTGTTTGCCTCTGAGAGTATACTGGCTCTGATAAATTGTGAAATTCCTCATGTCTTTTTCTGCGCTGGGAATCAGAAACTTCAGGACTATCTAATATGATAATGCTTCTGTTAGCACTAGGCATGTTTATTATTGATTCATTCATTTCAAAATCATCTGTGGAGTTATTGCTGATGTTTTTTGTTGAGCTTAAATTGGAAGGATTTTTATTGTTTTCTGACATTTTATAAACAATATTTTTTGAAGTCAATTCTTCATTTGCAACTAATTCCTGTTTGGAAGCTTTTTCAGAACTTGTATCAGGATTAGTAGACTTGGGTAGCTGGGAGGTCATAGCTTTCTTGGGCAAATTTTCTGATTGTCCATAAAATTCGTCATCATACTCTTCCATAAAGTAACCATCACTATTCTCAATGGTGAATTTTCTGCATAATCTCCTCTTTGGATCACTTTGATGTTCAAAGAAAAATTTCACACCTGCACAGAAAGAAAAATATCAGTTATGCAGGCTATTTGAAAATGGCAACTATATATATGTTGTGTACAAAAGTGAAAATTTGATAAGGCTATCTTGCAGAAAAAAATGCTAATGAACGTACCAGTGGGAACATCAGTGGCAAGGGAAAGATTCAGTGACAGAGCTGGGGCTGTCATCCAAGTGTGATGTCTGTACACTGTCAGTTTGAATGGAGGAAGCTGAGCATTGTATGCATAAATCGGCCACTCAGAAGATGCACACTCTGAAATGACAAATACCTTATTAATATTTCAAGTATAGACTGAACACATTTAACAGCTAAACTTCTATTCAACCACTGTGAAGAAAATATTTTGTATACTTCACAATATCAAAGAATTCACTTGGTTGAATAAATAATTAAAAAAAAATAATGTCATAATCTTAAGTTTTTAAAAAGATTGTACTTTTAAAACTAACCTTTTCCAGACATATAATCCAGAGTACATGATGTGGCATCACCATTCTCAACCTAGAAAAAAATTTTATCAGTACTATTACACATCCTGTGGTCTTGAATTGTTATTCAAACAGAGCAGAAATTATCAGATTACTTAATCACACGGATTCACCCCCATACCAAAATATCAAAAGAAGTTAGCTGTAAATAGTACATAACCACTCATGCCAATGGACCATTCTACCCATGACTTTGGCCCTATAGCTGAAAACTCAGTGGCAAAAGAGCGACAGTTTATTCCTGGATCACTAGTGAAATACTTGAGTAGCAATGAAGACACCAGTGAAAAATCATAAATATGACCATTATGCTAACAAGCAGCCTAACTCAAAAATGGGGGCAGAAGCCACCTGCAGATTGGAAAAAATTTCTTGTGAATATTGTCAATTTCCCCTGTTTCTAGGGTGTTCTTCCTCTTTTTTCAATGGAAAATAACAAAAACAGCCTATTTTGCCCACAATTTTTAAAATTACCTGTCAGATGATCATTTTTGCCCCACAACTTTAGGAAACTTCTGAATTATGTTCCAAATTAGATGAGCAGAAGGAGCAAGTGAATGAGACAAAAAATGCCTTTGCATGTACATAGGTTGTGGACGATATGACACATTCATTTAGCTCTCTCTTTAATTGTTTAGTAAGAACTAAAGAAAAAGAAAAATTTTTGCTGCCAATTTGTTAAAATCACCTTTGAAATGATTGTTTTACCAGTAAATTTCATCCAATATTCCAAATTGGATTATAAAGTGTGCATTTATGTTAACATTTTGCTGGTCTTGGATCAGTCACACAGTTCCAATTTGCAATATTGTGAAGAAGTTTCCCAGGCTGTAAAGTAGCTCATTTTAGCTTGAGATATTGGTGTATTTCAAGGATTTAATCTGGGATCTTGACTCTACATTGGCCTCCAAATGGAACCCACCAATTTTCATCAAGTGAAAATTGGTGTCTTATTTCTAGGATTATATTTTTTATTTGTTTCTTAGAGTAAATTGTCACCTTGAGTACAGGATGAACACAATTGGGCAGTAGTTTGCATTCACTTGTGATTACTATACAAAACGATTTGCAGTCATTGGTCCTAGCATTTAGACAATATTCATGTCAACCTTACATACCAAATGAATACAAAAGTAATAAATACCAAAGGATATGCGGGGGGTTCCCCACATGGTCTAAAAAATTGCAGAGCAATATTTGAGAATCAGGTTATCTTGACATAGATAGAATAAGAATAATTATACAGTGCTCCTAAAATATAATTTTTGCTTTTCCAGTTTTCATGTCATGATATGAAAATTGTTGTACAAGGAGCTAAATGGTCATTTAAAGTAGGTATGCTTTTCAGTCAATAATTTTAAAACACTAACCATTGAAAGTAGTCTATGTTCTGTGTAGTTCACCATTTTGTCATGCTACATTACTACCTATATAACAAAAATTTTTATTGTTGTCTAATTTGTTCAGATAATTCAGGAATATTATTTATGTACAGTATACAATTTTGTTATTTCCTTCGGATACTGAAACTAGGTATAGGTTCTAAAACAAAGACTTCATAGAACATCTGGCATTTCTGCGCTCGGTTGAGCAATCGGTTCTAGGAACAAATAGTTATGTATCAAACTCTTGAACACATTCAAATGAAACTTCACTTTTAACCATAAATCAACATCTTGCTTGTGCTTAGATCATGCAATTTTGACAGTTTAGACTTGATTAAGAAGTTATGCACCCCAATGCCCAAAATTCAGAGTGACTATGAAATTTCTTTCACAGGGCAGATCAGATTTGAATGGAAGATATATTAAATTCCCAATTGAATTTAGGTACCAAGAAATTGTACTATTTTAGCTCCTTATATGTTATACCTAAAATGTACAGTTTATATAGCAATAAGGGCATTAGTTTATGGTAAGCATGAAATTTCTCCCAACCTATTGAACAAATTTTTATGAAATGGTAAAGTACCGTAAAATGGGGTAACTTAGACCGGCGGGGTAACTTAGACCACTTTTCGTTTTTTTAACAAAAACCCCCACAACTCAAAAACTATTTGACATAGAAAAATTTTGTCAATGGGCATTAAAGGCCTAATACTGAGGCTACATAACACAATAGAAAGATTTGATGTTTCAATTCAAGTTTAATTTAGCTAGTAAAAAAATGGCATCATTTATAAAAAAAAGTGGTCTAAGTTACCCCATTTTACGGTAGTTTAGTAGGTAGTTAGCACCTAGCAGTGTCAGTGTTGATTTGGCCATTAGACCTGTTGCCAATTCTTAACATCCCAGAACACAGAACACTCAAAGTTCATTATGGGTCTTGAACATGAAATTCATTGCTCTAATTTGGCTGTGCTCAAGTCTTATCTGACTGGCCTCCTCAACAATTGGACCACAATTGCAGCTGGGATCAAATTAATAGCTTGCTGCTCGCCTGCTCCTACCGGTCCACACTGTTTTTATTGACAAGCATGGTGGAATTCCTGGCAGTGGCTGGTCATTTACCTGCAGCAGGACAACTGGAGTGCTCCATACCTGAGGACTTAGGCCATCATGTTGACAAGCATTGAGCTATGATCAAGTAGTATTTGAAATTTCATGAAACAATGATAATGTCAACAAACAATTAGCAAGAAAACAACTTGTCCAACAAAAATCTTGCTCATTAAAAATTGCAGAAAAACTCAAATTGTACAACTTGAATTATAACACTGGGCAGGGATGCAGGGTGGCTTAGTGGTTAAAGTTCAGATTACCAGGATTGGAGCAGAGAGGCTCAGCTTCAATCCTAGCTCTGTCTGCCAGTTTATTGTCATAATTGGCATTTGGCAAAGAGGCCAGCCAGTTAAGCTCAGCAGAATTGAAGCACTGAGTTGTGAGTTTTAGACTGCATTACAGTGTGGAATTCTGTATAGGTAATATATTCTCATGTCAATATAAGAAAACGTATCGAAATAATCGTAGAAATGGAATCACGGCTGGCAAATCCATAAAACCACGGCTCGAAAAATTCAGTCGCGGCTCGCCAAGTAGATATATTCCATACTAGTACACAAGGCTGACCACAGTGACAAACGACAGATATTTTAGAATCAGTTACTTTACTGGTCTACTGACTCTACTCTACTTATTGGACTCAAAAATGAACTTGAGGATGAGTCTAAATAAGTCTCTGCTTTGACACTGTGCATGATACATCAGATATTGGATGAAATCTTGAACTTTGAAGTAATTAGATCACAAAATTATTAATCAACTGCCTGGATACTTAAGATATTTTGGTAGGTAGGTAGCTATTGTTTGACTAGCTAAGAGTCTAGGACTAGCCGACTACCTAGGTACTTGCTCGTTAGTTATTTTACGCTTTACGGTTTTACCTAACGACCTTTGCATCTGACCCAATTTGACTGAACACCTGTAATAAACTACATTTAATAAACTTCATCTTGAGCCTATATATTTTATCACTCATCGGTCATTTTCCCTGTGGCGGGACTCGGGAGTCGCGCCAGACAGAGTAATATATGTAATATTCACTATTAGAGAACCGAATCATACCAGGGTTGCCAGATGGAGCCGAGAGAAAAAGGCCAATTTAGCTCACAAAAAAGGCCAAAAAAGGCCTCATTTTAAAATGGATATAAAATTTGTAAGTTTAGGGTAATTAAAACCACTTTCAATGCACACATTTACTCCTCAATCTTGGAAATCAAAAATTGCATCAATTTCACCCATTTCATCATCAGATTGAGAATATTTGTGGTACATGGAAGACGAAAATCGATTGAGCATGTCTACAGATGCCTCAAATTCCTTGCAACATCCTCCTCTAGTCAAAAGATTCATTCTAATCCTCAGCAGTGCTTCCATCATAACTAATTGCAACCTATTTCTAGTTTTTGACTTCAGCCAAGTTACATATGAAAAAACTCGTTCCACATGGGCATTGCTGACAGGAAGTGTCATGCATGCTAGAGCATAGTGAGAGAGATTTGGATACTTTATTTCACCCACACTGTTCTTTAGTAATGCTACTGCTGCCCAAAACTCCAAGGCGTCCTTGGGCGTTCCCAGTGGAAAGTCAGCAGACCAGTCATGATATGGAATTGACCTATATTCTTGCTCTATTTCTGAATTGAGTAGATGGCTCAATGGGAGATGTTTTAATGGAGCTCGATGCACATCATGAGACATTACCATATTTGGACTTAAAAAGCTCAGACCATTGAAGAGTTTGATGTTATCTGGTAGTCGCACTTTAACTTGGTTGAAGAGTTCTACCAGACAGTCGTGACATCTCTGTTTCATAGAGGCTACCTCTGATTTTACATTAGCCTGCTGGGAACTGTGATCCAAAAACTTTTTCAGTTCAATCTCAAAGTCATGTCCAAAATCTACATTGCTTAAGGCCAATGGTTGTCCCTTTTGGTCAAACAATCTGTCACGAAGTGTCCTATGGAAAGCCATTAGTTCTTTGCATTGTTTTTCTGCATCCACTTTCTCTGCTTGGAACATTTTATTTATTTTCTCAACCTCTCTTATCAAAGGAGTAGCAAAACTGAAGAAGAGAAAAGTGTATGGATTTTTCAGCATTCCTAGAATAATTCTGCCTTTGCTCCTTGTCTCAAAAGATCCTGAGGATTCAACTAAGGAAAAGTAGGCCTGCAGCTCAGGCCAATTATCCATAATTCTTTTCATCACTTCACCTCTGGTTAGCCATCTTGTACTTGATGATTTCATGAAAGGAGGGAGAGATCCTGTTCCTTGTTCATCTCCACCAGTATTGAGAACTTCTGACAGCTTTTGGAAATCATTTCTTCGCAGGGTGCTTTTTGAAAACCAAGCTGGGATCTCAGTCACAAGGAAGCCAACATCAGCCATAAGTTTCTCACATGCATGTTTTACTGCCAATGCCAGAGAGTGACAGATGCATTTCACAAGAATACATTTTGGATTAGTCTGAAGAATTCTTGAAAATACCGAATTGTTCTTTCCAACCAAGCTGCTAGCTCCATCTGCACCAAATCCTATACAATTTTTGAATGTTTGACCAAAGGAATGAAGAACAGCTTCAATTTCCTGGAAGAGAACTTCTCCAGTAGCATCAGTCACAGGAACTAAAGCAAGTAGATCAGTTTCTACATGCTGACTGTGATCATTAAAATATCTGACCAGGATACAAAGGTTTTTTGAAACTGAAACATCTGTGCTCTCATCTACAATGAGGGAGAATTTCTTTCCTGATAGATTTTCTGACAACACATCTCTTAAAGAAGGAGCAATAACATTCTTCAGCAAACAAGCACATTTTGAACGGTGTAGCCGAATCTTCTCAAGATCACTCCCTTTTCCATATTTTGTCAAGAAATCTGAAATGTGGTCAACACTTCGAATAGCACAATGACAACTCATTACAACAGACAGTTCCAGCTCAATTTTTTTTGCTTTGTCATCACTAGTTGCATGCATTTTTCTGAACTGTTTCCATGTATCACTTTTAGCAGCTGATGCTGAAGCATTCTCAAGTTCCTTATGTTTCTTGGTTTGTGCATGCTGAATAATGGCATCTTTTTTAGGCCTTAGTAAATTATGACAAAGAGTGCAAAGGGCATCTTCTGAACCATCAGAAGCTTTTTTAATCCATGGAAATTCTTTTTCCCAAGTATTTTGATATTTTCTACCAAATTTTTTCAGTCGTTTATTTAAACTCATTACTGCGCTATTAAGATTGTGCAGCCTCTGCAATACAAATCAAAATTTAGCATCAGTGAACCAAATTTATAAAAAACTATGTAATGAATAGAACATTCAAAAGACTATTTATATAAATTGAACAAGAAGTAATCGAATGCCTTCAGTGTAAGAAAATTTGCTAAAAAAATAACTTGTCCTGATGACATGTCATCATGACTGGCCAAACACTATCACTATGATATAGTCAAACTTGCTGAGTTGAACAAGTCAAATTAGCCTAAGAGGCTAAGAGAGTCTATGAAGCGACAGATGGATAAAGACAATTAGATTTACATTGGCTCATATTAAAGAGTTTAAAGGTTTGCAAAACTTAGTTTAACCACACAAATTACTAATGAATTTACTACCCTTTAGAGGGGGCAACTATATAGGCTACGCACTCTGCATCACTAGTTGTCAACTCAATATGATTAGCCAACTGGGACTCACACTATTGGCTAATGGCTATTGCTTGTTCAACCAATCAGAACCAAATGTTCGGTTTAGGCGGCAATCGCCAGTGTTGCCACCTTAACCGAAGTGTTGAGACTGTCGAAAGTGTCGAAATTTAAAGGTACTTGTCTTGGGCAAACGAAAATTGTGTGTCAATGACGAAAATAATATAAGAAAATCAGGTTACATTTTTTTCTCATGAAAAAAGGCCACAAACGCACCAAAAGGCCAAATAAATTTTCTCAGGCCAATCCACTTGAAAAAAGGCCACATTTGCGAAATTTGGCCGGAAAAAGGCCCATCTGGCAACACTGAATCATACCTACTTAGGAAGCCAATAAACTATCTGACCCTTTTCTTCTTTGTTCTGTTGGAGTAGTAATGGAGATCGAGTTCAGCTAAATGCGCGCAAATTTGATTACTATCAGGCTTCAGGTGATCTTTCTTTTTCTCTTTCATGGTGATGTGGTAGCACGAGCATCACCACCTCATAGAATAGAATGGAATGGAAGTGTCGGCATTGAAGAAATAGGCCCATGGCCTGTTGTCGATTCATGAACTTTCCGTGACTTGATTCACAAGGGATCCGGCCTTTGGAACCCGATCTTTCCATAACTGACGATTGATTGAGATAGCTGCTGGACCTATTGCCTGGTCCGTAATTTTCTGGGCATTTTAAGACAGAACATACAATATGCTCCTGCATAGCTTCGTGTAGTCTGTTTTTGAAGATGTTCATACTCGGAGCGTCAACTATGCTATCAGGGAGGCTGTTCCACATGTCGGTGACTCGAAGCGAGAAGGAATGTTGTCGCATGGAGGTGTTCCAACGCTGTTTTTTTTAGTTCATAGCCTTGACCCCTGGTGTTGGTTCTTGTTTCAAACTCTAGTAATCCTTCTGACACCTTGTATAAGCCATGAGTGTACCTGTACGCTTTAATGAGGTCCCCACGCAGACGTCGATAACTGTGGCTTGGAAGCTTCATAATCTTCAATCTTTCTTCATAGGACTTGCCCTTCAAGCCTGGAATTATCCTTGTTGCACGTCTTTGAACATTCTCTATTAAATTTCTGTCCTTTTCGAATCTCGGTGACCACACAAC